GATGCATGCTGGCCCCGCCCCGGGATGCCACACTGCGCATGCAGCCCCCCCGAGGTTGCCCACACGACGCACAATGCCCCCGGAGTGCCTGACCGTGCATGCAATCCCTCACGTGCTCACGGGAGGTACTGCTGTCCCCCAGAGATCCCATCATAAGCCAGCATTTCCCAGGGTGGCTGCAGCCCCTCAAAGCCTCTGCTCCCTCCCCCCACTGCACATGGATAGGAGGGAGGGATTCTGGGCAAGAAGCAAAAGGGGCAGGTAGGCAGCCAGCAGCATCATGCGGCATCCTGGCACTGCAGAGCTCCGCACCTGCCCAGGCTCCAGCAGGGACATCCCACCACTGCGAAGCAGAGAATGGAGGCAGCCATCACTACGATCTTACCTGTGGGGCCAGCCAGGGAGGAGGGCACCAGCTCCCACCGGTGAGTATTCGGGCGAGCCGGGGTCCCCATGACCTCCTGGGTGGGCACTGATGCTTGGAAAGAGACAGGCCAGGGAAGGAATGACACAAAGGAGGCAGAGGATGAGCACAGCACAGGTGCTACCGGCATCGCCCCACTGCAGCACAGCACCCCTGCAGTCTCCCTCCCCATTACTCCACACTCCCCAGAGCTTAGTGCCAAAATCCACCAGCACTTGTGGGCTGCCTTGCACCCCGGGCATGGGCTCTGTCCTGCACTGCAAAACCACACTGCAGAGGGGAGGCTCTGCACCCAGCAGTGCAGTGGGGGTCCCTGGGATCTGTGTTGAAAGGTTGGGATCACCCCTGTCCTCACCAGGCCCTGGCATATCGTTGCCTCTGGAGAGACCTTGAAGGGGCTAGGTAGGTCAGCCTTCAAGGGTGCAGGCAGAGCTCTCTGCCCTTGGACTGGAGTCATTGATGTCCATGGAGGGAGGGGGCTCAGCTTCTCCTCAGAATCCAGGTTTGAGCCCCCTATGAGGCAAGGGAGGGGGGGGCAGATCTTGCACACTTGCCTCTATCCCAGGGCTGTGCCGTCTGCAACCTATCACCCCTAGCATATTCCTAGGGCTTCTTCCTTCCCAGGAGCCAGCAGCCTCCAGGGGCTCCTCAGAAGGACAGCAACCTCTGCCTGTCAGGGCAGCACCCCTGACCCTGGAAGCAGAGAGCTGCTTTTTGGTTTTTTCCCCATTTCCTCTTGGCACAGCCATGGGGATGGTTTTCCCAGCAGTAGGAAGAGGGCAACTGCTGCCACTGGAATCCCTCAGGGCTGTGGGGAGGCCCTGCAGGGTGCTGGGCCCAAGGTGGGGGTGGTCAGAGTCAGCCGTGCACAGCTCCCAGCCTTATTGGGACAAAGAATGCAAAAGGCCAGGGTTTGCTACTGGCACGGATTCCCTTTCATGGCCCTGCAGTAACCCGGCCAGAGTGAGAGACTCAGTAAACAGCCCGCCTGGCACCCAGTTCCCTGGCTGGGATGGGCATTGCCACCACTTGGCTAGGCAGCAGTCGGCCCCCAGCTAGGGGTGGCCTTTGGCCTGGCCGTGTCCTGCACTCACATTCCTGGCCGTGGGCTGGAGTCATGTCCCCAGGGCTGCCTGGGATGTACATGCTGCAGGACAGGGGAGTGGGGGGCCTTGGGGTGGCACTGCCCAGCTGGCAGGGGGGCACAGCTCTCGTGTCACCCCCCTCAAGGCTACACTTACCCACTGATGGCCTCTCATGTCTCCCACCTGGCCCCAGCACCTGGCAGTGTACCCCAACATGAAGCTGTGGGAGCAGAGGGGCAGAGCACTCAGCTGGGGGTTACATGCAGTCCACCCATCAAGTTGGCTTCACCCCACAGAGTGCCAGCCCTGGTCAAGGAGGGCAGTGGCAGCTGCCACCAGTTTTGTACCTGGCTGCCAGCACTGGGCTGGCCCCGGATGAACTGCTCCCCTCTGGGGCTTTGTGCCACACTGGGCTCTGGGGCGCTGGCAGGGCTGCCCAGGTTCCCTTCCTTCCAGGCTGCCTGGGGCTGATCCTGCTGCAGGTCCTCACCATCATCCTCAGGCTCTGGACTGGGCTCTGGGGCTGGCTGCAGCTCCAGGAGCACGAGGTTCCCTGAAACCACAGCTGCGAGTGAGAAGAGACTCTGCTCAGGTAGCCTGCAGCTGCCTGCAATGCATCCTGCAGCCCCTGCAGGCACCCGGCTGCCCTGCCCACCACTGTGAGATAGTATGCCCTCCATCGTCCTGCAGCTGGCCCCAGGCATGCAACCCAGACAGGATTTTGCCATGGACATTTGTGAGGACTCACCCTGAGCACCAGGTTTCTGGGGGTCCCCTGCTTGCTGGCTGCACAGCTCCTGCATCCCGGCTGGGACATGCTCCTGCTCCACCACATCCTCTTGCTTGCGGGCCTGGGGGGAGTAGAACCAGCCCTGCTCCAGTCTCCCACCGGGCCACCATGGCCCATTCCAGCCAGGCATGCATAGATTGTGGACTCTTCCCAAGCTATCCAGGTCGCTGCCTGCATGCTGCTGGGAATTGACAAGCCAGTCCCTGCACAGGGGTCACAACAAGAGGCTCACAGGGGGACAAGTGTCCCCACACCCTGCTGCATCCTGTGGGCAGGGAGAGAGACAGTGTCTAGTGAAGGGGGACCCCAAACCTGCCCCATGCCTCCAGCCCAGGCACTCCAGGGCTCTGTGATGAAGAGAACATCCAGTTCTACAATACCCTGTCCCTGTCCATAGCACCTGCAGCTCTGCTTTGCAAATGATGAAATATTCCAAACATAGGACTACACATAGGTGACAGATCTGTCTCTGACATAAGTCTGAGCAGGGTTGGGGTGTCCTGGTGTCAGCTGGAGAACAAGGTGCCAGTACTGGCTGTGCCAGTGCCTCTAGCAGCACCATGACTCTAGGGCAGGGGGAGATGAAGAGGAGCCTGTACCATGAGGGGGCACAGGAGAGCCAGGCCCCAAACCCAGGAATGGAAATGGCCAGATAGAAATCAGCCAGATCAAGTGGAACAGCCCTCTCAGCTGCTCAGTGATGTCCCAGCCCAGCCAGGGCTTGGGGGCAGCATGGCAGCACATCCAGATGAGGAGGCAGACGGGGCTGAAAGGTGGCACAAGGCTACATGTCTCTGGCAGTCTCCTGCTACAACCCTGGGACAGGCGGAGGAAGAAGCAGGGCTGGACAGAGGCAGATGGGAGAACCCACACCTTCTTACCTGGCTGCGGGTACACCCATTGCTTCTCCTCTTCCCACCCTTGCAGGGCAACCCCACAGGGTTGGATGCAGAGATCCCCTACCACCACAGAGTCTCTGCAGTGTCATCCCTGCTGCACTGAAAACCCCAGTTTGTGCTCATTCCTTGCAGCTCTGTCCACCAGTTAATCCCTCCCCCATCCAGAAAGCTCCCAGCAGCTTCAGTCCAGAATGAGCCCTGGCCCCTCAAAGGCTAGGAAGAACAGCCATCATGAGAAGGGGACAGGGAATCGAGGTTTCTACCCATGCAGGAAAACTGCTGCAGGAGAGATGAATAGCAGTTGCTTCCAAAGAGCCCCATCTCCAAGAACTGGAGCAGAGATGGGGGCACCACATGCACCAGGGGCTCCCAGATCCCCACCGGGTAGCATCCTTGGGAGAAGCCCAAGGGGCACCCTGGCCTGAAGACCTAGCCGCAGCTCACCACTGCTGGGGCCATGCTGGCACAGCCCAGCCATGTTTTCCCTGTCCCCAAAGACCCCAGCCCCACCTGTCTCAATCCCTTTGGTCAGGCAACCACAGCTTGCTTAGGGCTTTGTGCTCCAGACAGGCTGGCACAGGAATCCCAGTAAAAGGTGAAATCTTGAACAGTCCCACCCCCTGCAATGCTCTACACACTCACCACTGAGCCTTTGGGCTGCTGGGCAGGGGCCTGCTTCACAGCCTCCCCATACCCACTCTCCTCTGGCCTGGCCAGTGGTGGCTCTGCATCGTCCTGCGGGCTGCTCTCCCCACTCTTGTCTGCGCCTGGAGGCTTGGTGCTGTCCTCACCACGGCTTTTTTCACTCCCAGTAAAGGCTGGTGTTTCAGCATTGTCCTTCTGGAAAATTTTCATTTCTCCAGGCACAGTGGGAGGCTTGGTGCCATCCCTTCGGCTGCTCTGCACATTCCCAGCCAGGGCTGCAGCTGGGTGGGAGCAAAGATGGTGTTCAGGGAGGAGCTGCCCACATCTCACACCTTCCAGGGCTTCCCCCCCAAGAACATAGGAATGGTGCCTCACCTTCAATCTCCTCAGCCCGCAGCTTACGGATGGCAGCTCGGATCAGCTTGCGTTCCTCATACTCACCCGCTGCCCGCAGCTGCGAGGAAAGGACCCAGAAAAGCCCCAGCACAGTGTGACCCATGGTCAGCCCCAGCACAAGTTCCATCCCAGCAAACAGTCTGCCCCAGCACATGGTCGCTCACCAGTTTTGTCAGTTCCTCCACGCTGGTGATGGCTTCGAGCTGCTCAGACAAGGCAGCCAGGGCTGCCTGCTGCTCCTCTTCCAGGCGCTGGGACCTGAGCAGGGTGAGAGGAGTGGCCATCTGGGAGCTGTCACGGGTGCTTGCGAGCAAAGTCCCCTTGTGGGCAGCTGGCAGATCCAGGCAACAGGTCCCACCATGCACCAAGCTGCTCCCACCCTCATGTTCACTCAAATCTGTCCCAGCCATAGCGGGGCCAGGTACTGCAGCTCCCATCTCCCAGGGCAGAGGCACGGAATGACCCCAGCCCACAACAGGACTCACTGTGGCCAGTTCTCCTTGTTGTCCTGTCGGTGGCTGCTGCGTTCTGGGCGGAAGCGCTTGGATGCCAACGTCTCCTCGTCTCGCTCCAACTCCTGCCGCTGCAGCTCCCGGATAGCTGAGCGGATGCGGCGCCGCTCAGCCAGGTCCAGTGTGGCCTCCAGCTGGGTGCACAGGGCAGGGCTCAGCACCGGCTCTGTTTGCTGAGTCCCCATCTCAGCCCTGGTGCCGCCCTCTCCCATACTGCCATGAGTTGCCCACGCTCTGGACAAAGGCACTGTCTGTGTGTGGCACCCACATGCCCAGCGCACGCTGCCCGGCACTGCCAGGCCCTGCAGGAAGTGGGCACGGCCCCCCCCCCCCCCCGGGACAGGATGCTGGAACCAGCCATAGTGAAGAGAGGCTGTCACGGTGGAACCGAGGCCTCCAGGCATGTAAAGGTAAAAGAGACAAGCAAGGGAAATGAACACCCACCAGTGGTCCTACTGCCTGCAAGGGCTGGTGCACTGCAGCTCTGTCCCTCCCAGTAGCATCAGCTCTGGAATGAGTCCTCCTACCCATGCCAGTCCCTCCAGCAGCAAAGGGACAGGAGAGCCCATTCTCTTCTCATCCCCTGTTCCCCAGGAGGTGCTGGTTGAAAGGACCCCAGCATCCCACCAAGGAGTCATCTTGTCCACCTTGCAGCCCTCCCCATCCTCATTCAC